ATTTTTGAATGAATTTTTGTAAAATCCTAACGCCTTTAAATAAGGCAATGCCTAGCTCGGTGGACTGAATTTTTTTAGGTATAGCACTCTTTTAAAGAGCATTATATCCATTTGAATTATTGTTATGTCAGTTAAACGCAGGAGACTTATTGGTGGGCCCACAAAACAGATATAGCGCGATTATATACCGCGCTATATATATAGCGCGGTTTAAAAGAGCATTATGCTTTAACGGCCAAAACTCCGTTAAAGCATAGCGCTCTCTAAAAGAGCGCTATATATAAAAATGTCACTCTTTTTTTTAAAAACATATTTTCATAACACTTGTCCAAAAAAACCACAAATGGGTTCTGGACCTTTCTATATACTAGTTCCTTACAGACAAACCAGCACCACCTCAGTGATGATTAAGTCCACTGTTTACGAAAAATAATGCCTATGGCATGAAAGATATTTGGGTTTCGTAACATTCTACACAAGCGCTTGTTGCCCAATGCCAGTGTGCCACCTTGAAATTTTTGAAGAAATCATTTTGCAAAATACAAAAACTGTTTTTCTAATCAACTACCAAGAAAGCGAAAAAATCATTTCACTTTTTACAGAAACGGAAAACTTTTCTTCCTTGATTGGATACAAATCTCTCTTCAAAATTTTGAAGCAAACGCCACTTGGTTTTGAAATTGTCTAACATCAAGTTTGATTTCTTGTTTTCCGATGATGTCGTAATCTGCTTCTACTTTTTGCACCTTCAAGAAAGATTTAAGATTTTAGGGATGAATAGATTTTCATCATCCTCTCTATCGTTACACACACAAATTATACAAAATGCTTCAAAGATGTTAGGATAGATAGCAGTGCTATAGACTTTGATTGTGTGCATAAAACACAAGAAACAAGTGCTTTTGAGGGTTAACATTAGCAATATATACATGCAGTTTAGAAACCTTACAAACAAGAACAACTTTAAACTTACTGATTGATTAAAACCTACTGAACTCAACCAGCATCACCAGGTCACCGTACTCGCTTCCTCTTGGACTGCCTCTTCAAGCTTGCCTCCTTAGGCTCTTGTGACAAGCCGCCCAACTTGGCACCCACAGCAGAACTCCACAGTGCCCTTTCAACGTCTGATGGAGTAAAACTGTCTCCTTTTGCAGATAACTCCTATTAAGCAATTGCCAAAGGAACACATAATGAGATAGATCCTACGCTTCAAAGGAAACAATATACAACGCACCAAGGGTTTAGAAAAAAGAAAGCTCAAAAGAATTACAAATACGATAAAGGTTCTGTTTTGGTTCAGGGAAAATCACTTAACATTGAGTAAAAGGGCCCACATTCAGTCTTAGACACTTCCTCTCAGAAGATACAAACTCTCAATCCTTCATAAGATTAACGGCTTAAGTATTCAGGGTATCCGTGAGGTCAGGTTTTTGTCTTACTTTTTTTAACTTCAAAAGATCATTAGACATTTAAACTTCCAGGAATCAATCAGCAGCATATGCAATCAAGTTAACTCCCGAAAACCGTAAATGTATGTTGGGGTCATCACATAAATATCGCTTTCTTGATTCACCATCTCATCAGGTCCTTTGCCGCAAATTTTGTCATGAAAATGGCCTAAACATCATTCTTTGTCTACATCGAGATCAACTGTATATTTCACAACAATCGCTCTCTCCCACTTGCATCAGTAGTGCCTTTCTTCACAAAAATTTATTATCTTCATCCAAAGAGGACATTTGAGGCACGACTACAAGAGGCATGAAGAAAACTTCTCGGAGATACGGGCACAATTAGCATTCTCTGATATCCTAGTAAAAGAACAGAAACAGAATTCCTGCTTCATCTGAACATGACATGCAGAAAACGTCTGACACGGGGCATGATTATTTGTTCTTTCCTAACAGTGTGGCCTTGAATGTAACTTGCAGAAAACAAAGCCTGACACGGCATGATTGTTTGTTCTTTCCTCATAGATGTGGCCTTGAATGTAACTTTAGGAATCATCACAAACTGAATGCTGATATCCACATAGCATGTAAAGGAAGAAAACCACATATCTTATGATGTACAATTGTAAACCAGGACAATGATAGGCTGGTGTCCATGCATATTCGCCCTAGCTAATCAAACGAATTTTTTGAAACTAGGAAGACAAAGGATCTTTCTTCAACCAAGCTTTCAGGTGGAATAAATCAGAAGATTTCAATAGATTTCCTACTTGATAATGGCACCATTACAACAATATCGTTCTCTGGTCGCAATCAAGCTTGCATTTAGATGACAACTAGATATCTGCCTATTTGGTTGAATTCTACTGGTTGTAATCTATGTGCTACGTTACATCGATATCTAAGCCCTTTGTCATGTATTCCACACAACAACAAAAAAAAGTACTTTAAAGTTTGAGCAATTTGATGATATCATTCTCAAACAACAGACTAACCACACACAGATGAAAGCATCATTATAATTAAAACATAGAGAAGAAGTCTAGCTAACCTTGGATTTTGCCTGCAGTTTGTCCACTAAAACTAGATACTGTTTCAGAGTATAGTCTTTCGAGTTGCCAATTGCAGCCACCATTGCCTAAGAACAACAGCATTTTTCACATAAATCAATCATCTAACTACACTTCAATCATCAAATCGCAGAGAATCAAATAGAGTTTTCAACCGCAAGAATGACAAAATTACTTCATCCGACATAAAAGGTGCAATATCCGGTGCCAAAGCAGCCAGAACTGCGGAGGCCGTGGCTGGACCAATGCCTTTCAAGACAGTGAGTTCTGAAATAGCTTTTGAGATATCAGGTAGATACTGAAATGCCTTCTCTGAAGCAGATCTCACAACAGCATCGTCCAGTGATGATACAAAATCCAACAGCCTAGGCCTGCATAACAATTATCATACGTTACCAGTGGCGGATCTGATGTATAACTAATGGGTTCATCCGAGCCCAGTAGCTTTGGCTCGGATTAGAAAATTCATCAAATAAGTACAAATAGTAGATCTCAGTAAATTAAATTAACTGTGGTAAAATCCCGAACACGAACCCATAATGTTCAAATCCTGGATTCTCCATTGTGTGTTACACCGACTTTTTCATAGCCTTAGGTACCGTATCAGATAACATAAATGTAATTATATTCTTCAAATACACTTAAATTAGCCAAAAGAAATAAAACAAACAGTACCGATTACTTACGCACACTCATGTCAAGTTCATTCCTATAGTTGAGTCCATTACCATAGCAATTATCAAAGGTAAATACTTCCTCCTTCCCCTTTTATGTGGCATAAGAAATCAAAAACAATTTTAAAATCTAAAACAAGCTATAGATATTTTCGATAAAATTAAATTATTTTTAAATATAAAAATATGTCATTCTTTCTGAGGCAGAATGAAAAGGAAAGTGTGTAACAGAAATTGATACTGAGGGAGTACATATATTTTGCCATAGGCGAGACGAAGAGAGAAGTAAGAACCTCCATTTGCCTCTAGTAAGCTTCCATTGCATGAGCTTGGTGAGTTCGGGAGTTGTGATGTAACTAGGGTTTCGTTGCCGAAGAAAGCCGGGAAGTTCATTCCGGTAGAAATCATCGAGAGAGACGAGTTTGGGCTTGTTGAGTGACTCAATACGGGCCCCGTAAGAAGATAGTGCCTCCTTCCACTGGGCCAAATCGGAGCATTTGAAGTCCATCGCCGGCGATTACAGTTCGGAGCTCAAAGAGGAACAATTGCGCCATTTCCTATAAATGTTAGTATCTTATAAATATATTATATCTTTATTAATCCGTTGAAGATAAGCTTGCTGAAAAATCTATTTAATAATCTATTGGAAATAAGTTTTCTAAAGAAGATTATCTATATATGGTACAATGAATTTAAACTTATACTATTTTATAAACTTATCCGATAGAAGATTATCTATATATGATACAATGAGTTTATCCTTTCGGTACTCCATTATGGATAAACATTACCTCTGATAGAAGATTATCTATATCTAATATAATGAGCTTATCCTTTTGTTATTCCGTTATGGACAAATATTATCATTGGTAGAAGATTATCTATATCTGGTATAATGAGCTTATCCTTTCGGTACTCCGTTATGGATAAACATTACCCCGAGTAGAAGATTATCTATATCTGGTATAATGAGCTTATCCTTTCGGTACTCCGTTATGGATAAACATTACCCCGAGTAGAAGATTATCTATATCTAGTATAGTAGCAGCTTATACAACAGCTTGCTTTCTTCTATAAACAGAGGAAATTTCAGTTCATTATGTACATAAATTTGAAGTTTGAATAATATATAAGTTTCTCTCTATACTTGTCTTTACTTTACAACCTTTATTTTATAACACGGTATCAGCACGAAACTCTTCCATATCGAGCAAATACTTTGAAAGTAAGAGAGGTACAAACTTTCTTTTTCTGAATAATGTCAAATCTTTCTAAACTTGAGTTTGTAGCCCTGGATATATCGGGCAAAAGCTACATGTCTTGGGTGCTTGATGCTGAAATTCATTTTGATGCGATGGGTCTAGCAGACACCATCATGGACAAAAATCAAGCATCAAACCAAGATCGTGTCAAATCAATGATATTCCTACGCCATCACCTTGATGAAGGCTTGAAAATGGAATATCTCATTATTAAAGATCCAGTCATACTGTGGAATAATTTTAAAGATAGATATGACCACATGAAGATGGTCGTTCTTCCACATGCACGTTATGATTGGACTCATCTAAGGTTACAAGATTTTAAATCTATCAGTGAGTATAATTCTGCTATGTTCAGAATTATTTCCCAATTGAAATTATGTGGTGATAATATTACTGATCATGATATGTTGGAGAAAACTTTCACCACTTTTCATGCCTCGAATATGCTCCTGCAGCAGCAATATCGAGAAATGAGATTCAAAAAGTATTCTGAATTTATCTCACATCTTTTTGTAGCCGAGCAACATAATGGACTATTAATGAAAAATCATGAAAGTCGACCTACTGGTTCTTGTTCATTCCCTGAAGTGAATGAGACGAACTTCCACCAAGCTAAGCGTGGAAGAGGACGTGGCCCCAGTCGTAGTCATGGCCGTGGTTGGGGAAGAAACTCTAATCATGGTAATAATAATGCACCAAAAAACCCTCCTCACCACCAGTAGTGGAAAAGGAAGGAGCAAAAGCGTGAAGCGGTGCAAGCAGCAAAGCCATAAAATGCATGCTATAGATGTGGAGGAAAAGGGCACTGGTCACATACAACGTACACCAAAGCACCTCGTTGAGCTATATCAAGCCTCCCTGAAGAATACAGAGAAAAATGCTGAAACAAATTTTATTTTTGAAGATAATTTAGACTTCATGCATTTGAATGTAGTTGATTACTTTGCACTCCCGGAAGGAGAAACAAGTCATGTGATCGGTGATGAATCTATAGAGATATAAATATTTTAATTTTTATTGTTTATAGTAGATAGTATGGTTATGTAATTGTTGTACATAAATAAAAGTTATGCTTTGATAATAATATTTACTATCATATTTATTTTATTTATGTTATTTTGAAGAATATGGATAATCCTCAAATTATGTTTGGATAAAAGACCAATCATAAAGATATTTGTGTAATTGATAGTGGAACAACTCATGCCATATTCAAAGATCAGAAATACTTTTCTTATTTGCATAAGGAAAAAGCAAATGTTTCAACAATTTCTGGTAATATAAGTTTAATTGAAGGCTCCGGAAGAGCCACTATATTTCTGTCTAAGGGAACAAAACTTATAATAGACAATGCATTATTCTCCTCCAAGTCCCGAAGAAACTTGTTGAGTTTTGTGGATATCCGCCAAAATGGGTATCATGTTGAGACGATAAAATGAAATGAAAATGGAATATCTTTATATTACAAAGAATGTTTCTGACCAAAAGTACATTGTAGAAAAGTTACCAACTTTATCTTCTGGCTTATACTATTCAAAGATTAGTACAGTTGAAGCACACTCTATCGTAAACCAGAAGTTTACTGATTCAAATATTTTTGTGCTTTGGCATGACCGTTTGGGCCATCCTGGATCAATAATGATGAGATGAATTACTGAAAATTCAAGTGAGCATCCATTACTGAAAATCCGTCTCAGACCGACACATTATAATAAATATTCTCTGTCACAATTTGTTTTTGGTCATGAACCAAATATTCTCCATTTATGAATTTTTGGATGTGCTGTATATGTGCTAGTAGTACCACCACAGCGCAGTAAGATGGGCCCGCAGAGAAGATTAGGAATATATATTGGGTTTGAATCACCCTCTATTATTTGCTATCTTGAACCATTGACGGGAGATTTATTTACTGCTCGATTTGCAGATTGTCGGTTTGATAAAATAAATTTCCCACAATTAGGGGGAGAGAAAAAGAAAATCAAAAGAGAAATTGTATGGAAAGTTTCATCATTATCCCATTTTGATCCACATACCCCTATATGTAATCAGGAGGTCCAGAAGATCATTCATTTACAAAATATAGAAAATCAAATGCCAGACGCGTTTACTGAATTGAAAAGGATAACTAAGTTACATATCCTTGCAGAGAATGTACCTATCCGAATTGATGTCCCAACAGGACCATCTACTAGCATGAGAGCTAGTGAACCTAAAGCACGCGTGAAGCGTGGTAGACCTTTGGGTTCTAAGTATCGAAATCCTCGAAAAAGAAAAATAACAAATGATCAAAATGATACTATGAAGGGATCCTCTGAAGAGACCCAAGATCTGATTAGTTCTGAGATTCTTGAAGAAATCAATGAACCCGAGACTCAATTGAGTGAGAAGCTTTTAATAAGTTCTAGTGGTGAAGGAATTAATTTAAATCGATCTGAAATAGTGGTGGATAATATTTTTGCATATAATGTTGTACTTAACATTATGCAAGATAGTGAGGATCTTGAAACCCGATCTGTCGAAGAATATCGACAAAGATCTGATTGGCCAAAATGGCAAGAGGCAATTCAATCAGATTGAACGCACTTGCTAAAAGAGAGATCTTTGGACCAGTGGTCCAAACACCTGCTGGTATAAAATCAGTTGGTCATAAATGAGTTTTTGTGCGAAAAAGAAATGACAAAAATGAAATTGAAAGATACAAAGCTCGCCTTGTCGCACAAGGATTCTCACAACGACCTGGAGTCGATTTTGATGAAACATATTCACCTGTTTATGTTGATGACATAAATCTTGTTGGAACTCCAGAAGAGCTCCAAAAGGCAATTGAATATCTTAAGAAAGTATTTGAGATTAAATATATTGGAAAGACAAAACTTTGCCTTGGTCTACAAATTGAACATTTAGCATATGGGATCTTTATCCATTAATCTGCCTATACATAAAGGGTCTTAAAATGCTTTTACATGGACAAAGTGCACCCATTGAGTACACCAATAGTTGTTCGATCACTTGAACTGAATAAAGATTTGTTTCGACCTCCAGAAGAGGATGAGGAACTCTTTGGTCCTTGCTAATGCTACAAGGCCTGACATAGCATTTTCTATTAATTTACTAGCAAGATATAGCTCTTTTCCTACACGGAGACATTGGAACGAGATTAAGCATATATTGCAATATTTAAAGGGAACACTTGATATGTGTTTATTTTATTCTAACAAAGGTAGTGCAGATCTTGCTGGTTATGCAGATGTAGGTTATTTATCTTATCCACATAAAGCTCGATCTCAAACAGGGTACGTGTTTATATGTGGAGGTACTGTCATATCATGGCGCTCCACAAAGCAATTTATTGTTGCTACTTCTTCAAATCATGTTGAGATAATAGCTATTCATAAATCAAGTAGGGAATGCGTGTGGTTGAGATCAATGATTCATTTTATTCAAGAAAAATATGGTTTGGAATGTGATAAAAGATCCACAAGTTATACGAAGACAATGCTGCATGCATAGCCCAATTAAAGAGAGGTTTTATAAAATGAGATAGAACGAAGCACATTTCACCAAAATTATTCTACACACATGATCTTCAAAAAAATGGTGACATTGATGTGCAACAAATCCGTTCAAGTGATAATCCGGCAGATTTATTCACTAAATATTTGCCAACTTCAACTTTTGAGAAGATGGTATATAAGATTGGAATGCGGAGACTCAAATATTTGAAACAAGGTTTTTATTAAGGGGAGTAAAATACGCGCTATACTATTTTTTTCTTACTAAGGTTTTTCCCACAGGGTTTTCCTTATAAGATTTTTAATGAGACAACTAGTTATGTATATTACTAAATATGTGTACTCTTTTTCCTTCACTAGGATTTTTTTCCACGGGGTTTTCCTAGTAAGGTTTTAATGAGGCACATTATCTTATAATGAACATTTAGGGTGGGTGTTATAAATATATTATATCATGGATGTTCATTTAGTACTATGTTGAAAATAAACTTCCTGAAGAAGCTTATCTATATGAGACTCCGCCGTAAATATGTTTATCTATTTAGTACTCTATTGGAAATAAGTCTCCTGAAGAAACTTATCCTTTCAATACCCCGTTATGGATAAACATCACACCCGGTAGAAGATTATCTAGATCTGGTACAATGAGCTTATCCTTTCGGTGCTCCGTTATGGATAAACATTACCCCGATAGAAGATTATCTATATCTGGTATAATGAGCTTATCCTTTCGGTACTCCGTTATGGATAAACATTACCACCGGTAGAAGATTATCTATATCTGGTATAATGAGCTTATCCTTTCGGTACTCCATTATGGATAAACATTACCCCCGGTAGAAGATTATCTATATCTGATACAGTAGCAGCTTACACAGCAGCTTGCAGAAGCAACTTACACAACATCTTGCTTTCTTCTATAAATAGAGGAGATTTCAGTTCATTATGTACATAAATTTGAAGTTTGAATAATATATCAGTTTCTCTCTATACTTGTCTTTACTTTACGGCCTTTATTTTATAACATAGTAAAATTTATGCAGCTGCCACTTAGTTTCTTTAAAATACAAGAGAGTCCACTAGTTTCCGAGAATTTGCCTTACTAACCTCGGGTTAATAATTTAATTGACATAGTGTAATGCAACTTTTGCTTGAAGCAAGTCCAATAAACTTATTTGAGATTGTTTAGCTGACATGTGCATATGATATTAGAGTTTCAATTCAAATCATATTTTTTAGAGTGATAAATATTAGCGTTCGTAGATCATAGAAGTTTTGTAAGAAATTTCAATTAGTATTTTAGTATTAAAAAAATTATTTCTCTTTTTCATACACTTTATTCTTTTCGTTAACATATTTGGTAAAAGTTGAAATATTTTAGGGTTATTTAGCTAATAACTTGTACACATGATTTTACGGTTAATAATATTGGCTTAGAGCATGACTTCAATCAAGTATATCCCTGTCATTACTAGATCGGGCCAAACATGATCTTCTTTAGATCTGAAGTTGAGCTCTATCAAAGCTTAACTTAATACTCAAAAGGTTTGAAGTTTTAAAGGCCGAAGTTCAAATTTAAAACCTTCGGGTCTAAAGTTAGCTTTGCTAAGAGCCTAACTTCAGACTTCAGGTCTGAATTTGAATCAGACTCGCATGTCTGAAGTTGATTCTGAGCGGTTAAACTTTAAAAACTTTATAAATTTCAGTTATTCCCTAAATAGGGGTCCCAAAATGCTTAATTTGTGCACTTTGAAGAGCGCAAAACCGGTGTATAAACTTAGGCTCGCTAGTCAAAGATAGTATAGTATTAAATCGTCTCCACAAGGATTGGTTTAAATAATGTTCTAATAAACCTTCAGCTTAACACTATCCAGAAAGATAAACTTTTAATTTATGTTATTATCAACTAATAATAAATACTAAGATTATCGATTGTGAGAAAATAATAGAAATTTAATGACTAAGTAGCAACGATTGAATATCAAGGTGGGAAGTAAGGGTTGTGACAAGATATGTGATCAACTATTATTCCGGGTAACTTCGTACTAAGTTCACTCTTAACTTTATTGACTCTTTCGATTTCAACAGATGATTAGGTTATCTCAAGGATTCAAATTCTTCTTTCGAATGAATGAGAGTTCCATTAACCAACCTAATGACAGGTTCTATGAACATATGCAAAAATACAACGAATAAATGATCTTTCGAAGAACGCCTTTTGACTATTCTTCTAAACTGGTCAGTTGATAGCTCTTTAAGCTCTTTCGATTACCTATGTAAGGTGTAAAATCAACCCAAATAATATGACACAATGCGAATTGCAGCAACACTCCTCTTTCGATTAAAGTAAAATCATAATTGGCCTTGCAATTCAATTATTAACTCATTCAATGAATTCGGGCAATTAACAAAGAGTAAAAACCCAAAATAATAGTCAAATCACAATATTCGTCAGTAACCCTAAGAAAGATTACTACCTTTGAGTATCGATGGTACTTTCTTATCACATAGAACTCCAGACGCCAACCTCCGCTTCATCCACCCTACCCCTATATGGTGAGTGATATCCTCATCGATCTCTCCACCACCCTGAATAACTGACCCAAGGTACTTGAAACTGCCCCTCTTAGGGATGACATGTGATCCAAGCCTAACGTCCAATCCTGCTATCGTTGGCTCGATGCTTAACTTGCACTCTAGGTATTCCGTCTTATTCCGTCTCCAAACCTCCAGCCGCTCATTGATGCCATCTCGCATCTCATCAATCGGAACAATGTTGTCATCAAATAACATACACCATGGCACCTCCCCTTGAATATGGCGTGTCAGAGTATCCATCACTCGGGAAGCTAGGCTTAGATGGTTCGGGCACGTTCAGAGGAGAATCCCAAATGCTGAGCGACTAGCTTTGGTGGGCGCAAAGAGAGGTAGAGGGCAGCCTAAGAAGTACTGGGGAGAGGTGATCAGGTAGGACATGATGAGACTTCAGATTACCGAGGATATGGACCTAGATAGGAAGTTATGGAGGTCGAGCATTAGGGTCGTAGGTTAGGAGGTAGTTATGCATATTCCAATGGCGCGCCAGAGTGAGGCTAGCCTGTTAGGATTTTGTCTTAGACTGCTAGTGGTTAATGTTGAGTTCATATTACTCTTTCGTTCCTCTTAGTGTTGGGCTTTATCTACTGGTTATTGTTTTGCTTTTAGTCTATGTTCTTGTGATATTGTTATTTCTTTCTAAGGTTTATTGATGGTACTGATATACTGTCTCTTTTCGTTTTCTTCAGCCGAGGGTCTATTGAAAACAACCTCTCTACCCCTCGGGGTAGAGGTAAGGTCTGTGTACACACTACCCTCCCTAGACCCCACTAGTGGGATTTCACTGGTTGTTGTTGTTGTTGTTACTAACATAAAAATTTAAGTAATTTAATTCAAAGTTCTAAAATATTTTTACTGTTAAAGAGCATATAGTCTTTTTATTTTTACAAATCTATTTTTAAAAGTTTTTTGGGCCTCAAAATGTTGAGGGACTAAATCAAGGCTTTATTAGCCTCCCCTTGATCGCCCTTTCCGCCCCAAACATTCTCAATCAAATTTTATGGAGCTGGTATTAATTAAGATAAGATAATAATGACAATAACATTAAAGGCAGTGAGTATGTCATTCAGTTACCAAATATGAATGAAGCTGATTGAATATCATGTATCTGGGCTAATAATCTCAACGGAAGTGGTGTCCTACAATCAAAATATGTGAAACGCCCCTTAAATTTCTTTGACAAAATCTTTATAATAGTGAGAGACAAAAAAGAAGCCTACATAACTTTGATCCAGTAGTAAGAGCGTAATGCATGATGTGTGGGTTAGGCGCATGTAATAGTATTGAACTTTATCCTATACAAAAATATGTATTAAGTGAAAATGATAAAGGTGTAAGCCTATTATTCATCGAGTTTTGAATCTTGCGACACTTGCTTCGGGGATTTCTTAGCTAAAAAAGATATTACACAAAAGAATTTGCTTTCTGATTTTTCGATCATCAAATGTGACAAAAAGGAATAGCTAATTTATAGAATTTGAGTTGAAATTAGAAAGTAAAATTGTGGAAACATAAAAAAAAGG